AAGTGTTATCTAAAACTGTCTCCTGTGCATCATTCTACCTGAGTGCTTCGAAAAGTACCTAGCAAATGTGGCCTGACCTTTTGATGGGACACAATTGGGCAGGTGACAGATCTCACTGGAAGCAGTGACACACCCCTGGCCACCCCGCACACACCTTCCTCACTTAATTGGTTCTCAATCTAGCACCACAGACCAGCCCCAGCTCTGACTGACCTGCTCAGGGTGGTAACCGGAAAGTCAAACAACTTTGGTTTCTCAGAGACTGACAAATCATTCTCTAGCCAAACAAGCTACTTCAGAGTTGATCTCGCAAAGTTCCCTATATAAGTGAACTGGCTCTGAAAGAAACTGGCTTCATCGATAAGCAGTTCTCCCAAAGATCCAGAAAACACTTGAGAGAGTTTTCCACTGACCTGTACCATAAACAAACTCTCACGACCCCACGAATGAAGCAAAGCTTTTAAAGAAACCACCTGGCTGACACTGGGTGATGCACGTGTTTCACCGTGTTATTTTTTTTTTAATCAACCCTTAAAATGATTTTAAAAATTTGAGATCCTTTGACAGCATTATAACTGCTTGTTTCTCTATTACCCCAAAGAATTGTTATTTCATAATAAGGCATATTTTCTTTGCTTTTCCAGTAACATCTGCTACAATACTATTTCCTTCATGGCATATTTACACATAATTTCTACGGTTTCCTTTTCTGCTTTAAGTATTTGCAAGCATTAATTAATACAAAAATCAACTTTATTGTGGTATAACGTACATACGATCAAACATTCCTGTTTTAATAGTGCATTTCCATGAGTTTTGACAAACTGATATACCTGTGTAACCACCCTGATTGGTTACTTCACAAGGAGACACAGCTTTCTTACCCTGCTCTAGCTATCTCATGGGCATACAAACATGGGCTCTAGCCCTTGAAATGCAAGAATTCCCTGCCCAGGTCCACGGGCAGATGGCAACCACCATCTCCCTAAGCACTATCAGTGCCCAGGGGGTTATTATTAAGAGCAGTCATATTCCATATTCCATTTCAACAACCACAATCATGTGTGAGAAAGTGTTCGTGCCAAACCTAATGTTCGCTCACCTGGAGCAACACAATGTTAAAAGGACATAAGCTTTTGCCATTCAGATTATTATTTTTTTTTTAAGATTTATTTATTTGGGGGGGGGTAAGGGTAGAAGGAGAGAGAGAGAGGAGGGGCAGAAGGAGAGAGAATTTCCAGCAGGCTCCCTGCTGAGCCCAGAGCTGGACACCGGGCTCAATCTCATGACCCTGAGATCATGATCTGAGCTGAAAACAAAAGTCGGACGCTTAACCTACTGAGCCTCCCAGGCACCCCATCAGGTATTTTTACACAGTCATTCTCTCTCTCTGACACTCTGTAACTTCTCCAACCTAAAATAGTGGTTTCTCAGGGTTCCAGAACCCTCTCCCACCCTGCTCCCTCTTCCCCAGGACTCCCCAATGGGCCTCTGAAGCAGCCACTGTGTGTATTTTTGACCTGGGCAGAGTACTGTGGCAACTGCCTCCTAGATTTCTACTCAAATATTTGCCAAGTGCCCAGCATGTGCCTGGCACTTAAATATGAGTAAGACTCTGTACCTGCCCTCAGTAAGGTCACATAATTCCATTAATGCAGCCCAATTAATGATGTCAATGGTTATTTCAGGGTCAGGCTCATATTGAACTTGGAATGAGCTGAAGTTCATATACATTGCGGTCAAGGCAGAATAACTCCTTCCAACCTAAGTGCACGGCTTTACAGAGGCCCTTGTTAGCTTTTATTACTTTGATTTTCATCTTTTCCAATAACCAACATAAGAACTCTGACAAGATATTAACTATTGTTAAAAACGAGGAAGTTAATACTTCATAAAAAAATAAAGCTCTTCTCTTATTTCTCCTCATTGAAATTGAAACTAGTTTCTGAGGTGAAGAGTGAGTTAGTCTGTGTGGTTTTACCTATGGCTGTAAATATATTATTTGCACAAAAGTCAAGCTGTGTTGTATCATTTCATGGTACTACAAAATGTGATGGCAAATGAGGGCTTAATTTTCTTTTCCTTTCCTTTTTTTTTTTTTTTTAATTGCAGGTGCTGTGCTTTTCCTGGCGAACTCCTACTTATCCTTCCAGACCAAATGCAGATGACACCACTTAGGTGATGACTTCCAGATTCCTAGACAGAAGAAAGAACCACTTCTGTCTTCTCTTCTCTGCTCTTAGCTCATTATTGCAGCATGCTACAGGGTCATTTACCCATTTTCATGTCTGTTTAGGGTCACCAACCATCCCTGTGTATTGGGGACTGCCCTAGGTTTAGCACTAAAAACCCCAAGTCCTGGGAAACCCCTCAGTCCCAAGAAAATCAGGAAAACAAGTCACTCTACATGACAATGAGTGGCTGCTTAACAAAAGAGCCATCTTTTATGAGGGGCCAAAACCAACTACTTCACAAACACTGCCTTATATTTGTCTAATGTAAGACAACACTGAAAGGAGTTAGGATTATCCCATTTTACAGAAAGAGAGGGGAGACTGAGAGGTAAGTAACTTGCCCAAGATCACAGGGGTACCTGGAATTGAATGAACATTCGCCTGTCATACAGCGGCTCTCAATAAATATCACGGAATCAGTAATCACTTGTCATCATGTTTCTATCACTCAGCATCAGCCAATATGCCAGTGTTGGTCCTTGATAAAGCCAGCAGGCATTTACAGGAGGGTCCGTGTGATAGGAGAACAGACAAAAAATATATATATTTATTTACATGCACTGCTTTTAAATGAACTTGCTTTTAAGTAAGTGTCACCTGCAGAACATGCTGAAGATGTGAATGCCAGCAAGTTCCACATGCCTCATGTTCTCTCACAAAGATAACATGGAAGTTTCCTGAAGACCATTTAACACACTTGGCTATGTATAGAGGAGATAATCCAGCTGCTAGGCCAGACCCAAGGGCTGTTTTCAGGTGGGACTTCCTGAACTAGTGGAACAGAGCAGAGTACTGGGAAGACAGGCCACAATTCTCAGCAAGGAGGTGCTCCTTGGAAGTCAGCTTGTCATTTGTTGACCCTGAAATTTGGGAAACGTTACTTACTTCAGCACCCTCCTAAGTGGTACGGGTTACATTTTAGAATTTAAATACTGTGTGCATTCATACAGTATCTTTTTCTTTTTTTTTTAACTCTGTTGTGGTTGTAACTCTAAGACCAGAAAAGCATAGCCTCCATTTTTGGACTTTGAACTTTTTTTTCCCTAACCCAACACCAAATTCTCATTCCAAGTTATAGGGGTTAGGAAGCAACCTTTCCACTCCCACCACAAGTTAAAAGAAGTGGAACTCTGGGGACCATTTCTCCCTATTTTAAAACGTAAGTTCCAGACAGAGCGTTCCAAAGACAACGGAGAGTTCTGAGAATGCAGAGCCAAAGTGCCGCACCGCGCCCACCCCCCCCCCAACACCCCCCCCCAGCTGCCATTGTATGTAGATGCTTCAAGCGAGCTATCTGGCTCAGGCCCACCGAAAGGCTCCGGAGCCAGTTGCCCCTCCTCCCCGGGGGGGTGCCGTCTGGCTCCCCTAAGAAGGGGAGGGGGAAACTAGGAGCCACAGACCCAGACCCGGCGCCACTTCCACGGTTAATCAGTTTACCTGGGATGTGTATTTGGCTGGACCCCCCTGGGGACCTTCCCTGGCCACCCAGGGTCAGAGGATAATTTAAAAGCTCTTCAAAGCCGGGACCCTTCTCAGAGCCAGCCTAAGACTGGAAACCTGGGAGGGACAGGCTTTACTCTTCAAAGTGAGAACAAATGTGAAAGGATTTAGCACTTAGTAGGTAGTCAATAAATGTTAACTTTGTTTCTCAGGTCTGGGCTTCCCCTCCCCCGCAAAAGCCATATCCAACCAAACCCGATCCTGTCCCTTCCTGAAATTCCACAAGGCCACAGGTCGTTTGCATTTTGAACTAGTGGTTGCCACTTCCCTTACTTTGCGAGCCCAAAGCAACCAGACCCTTTTTCAGACTTCATTTTGTTCAATCTGTAAATCGGAGCAAGAGAGCACACGTTTGCTGGCGTTCCCAGGTCTGACATTCACAGGAAATATTAAACTGTGCCCGTTACGATTGTTATTTCTAACCTCAGCCCTCCAGACAGGAGGACGCTCAACTTATGGAAGCTGCTGCAAAGTCTCTACTTAAGTCAGGTATTATAGAGAAGCCCCTTTGGGCTTCCCGTGTCTCCGGACGCTGACCCGGCGTGCGCTCTCAATACACCCCGCACATGCGCCGCCGCAGACCCGCGCAGTGCGCAATGCGCTCTGGCCCCCAGGCACCCACAAGGTTGCCAGCCCCAGTTCAACCCATCTCCACTGCTCCAGTCCCTCCTTTGTACCAGGTGTGAAATCCCGACAGAAGAATCATCCGCCACTGCGAAGGATCCTCCAACTGGGCCGCCAAATGGCCCAGAAGATCTTGGGCCCTAGCCAATGTAATCAGTTCCCTGCTGAGGACTCCAAGGGAGGGCCCGGAGGAAATGGGAGCAGAAACCCCGCGATCGCTAACGCTGTCCACCAAGGGCTCCCGGGGCTGCTCCTCCCAGCTCTCCAGTGAGCCTGTCGGCCTCCCGCGGTCACCTACAGATGGGCATGGTGGGCTCAGACACACCCGACGTTTGCGGCAACACTCAGACCCTGACACCCCGCAGTCCTCTCTCTTTGAGAAAAGCATCTAGAAAGCAAGCTCGCCCTGGCTTAACAGAATCTGGGCTCTTTGGGGCTGTGACCTTCACCGCCGCCATCGTTCGGCGCCGCCAGCTTCGGTCTTCCAGTTTGCTTTCCTTGGAAACTCACGCGTCCGGCCCCTTCCCCACCGCCCGCCACCCTACACACACACTTGTGAAAAATTAAATGCCCCAAACAGTGCTCAGAACAGCTTGCTCCGGTACCCCGGAGCCGGCCCAGCTGCTTGCGCTCAGTACTCACCGAGATTGGGGTGTCGGGCAGCGGGGTTGGCCCTGCCGGGCAGGCTGTGCAGGACCGGGCTGTCGAAGGGACCGGCGGAGGCGGCGGCGGCCGCTGCCCAGGACGCACCCACGTCGGTCATGTAGGCGGGGTAGGGGCTGGAGTAGGAGCCTGCGAAGCCCGCACGCCCGTACTGCTCGCGGCCGGTCAGGCCCGCACCCGCCGCTGCGCCACCACTGCTATAGGCCGCGGCTTCCCGGGCCGCGGCGGCGGCGGCGGCCGCTGCCAGGGACCCAGTGGTTCCCGGGAAGGAGAAGCGCGGCGACACAGGCGGGGGGCTGTAGGCGGCTCCCTCGGCTCCCGCCTGGCTCCAGCCCGGGCTGCCCTGCTGCGTTCCCGGCCCGGCACCCGACGGGGCCCCACCGGAGCTGCCGCCGGAGGTGGCTCCAGACGCGGCGCCCCCGCCTCCGCCCTGGAGATAAGACAGGCCCAGCACAGAGGAGGGCACCCGCGGCGTGGGCACGTAGACTGGCGAGGACGCAGCCCCCGCGCTGTGCATGAAGGCGCCAGGGCCGCCCGCCTCGTAGGCCCCGGGAGGGGGGCCGTGGTTGGCCGCCATGGCCAAGCTCTGGTACATCGCCCCCGCGAGCTCTCAGCTTCTGAGTCCTCTCTCCCACGTGCGAGTCGAGGCGCAATGCAGGGACAGAAAATAATAGTAGAAAAAATAATAATGTACAGGTGAGAGCCTGTCACATAAACGAAGATCAAAAATCAAAAGTAAAAAAAAAAAAACTCTCAAAAATATATACGTATATTAAATCCAGCATCGAGCAAAAAAGGCTCTAGGCTCTTGTTTATAGGAAAATTCCAAATTGAATTTTTGGTTCTTCCTGGAGGTGCTGGAGGAGGGGCTGAGTCTACCCCCGGGCCTAGAGGTCCCGAGCAACCAAGAGTGGCAGAAGAGGCGGAGTAGTGCCTGGGCGCCTGTGCGGGGCACGGGTCTTCGGGTCACGCCGGCGGCCGTCGCTGCGCACGGTCTTCAGGACACCCGCAGACTCCGGCGCTGGGTGCGGTAGGCTGGTTCCAATGCGGAGGGTCCGGCTGGCTCTTTTCCTCCTTTCCTCCTTGCTGTGGTCCTACCTAAAAGAGGAACGACAAAAAGGGGAAGTTCATCAGAAGCATTCAGAGCACACTCGCTATGCTTGCGGTTGCTTCTCTCGAACTGCTAACCCAAGAAATCGTCGCCCTCCGCGCCCAGCTTTGGAAGCCGTGCGGTTCCGAAGGAAGCTGTGGTCTTGGTTTTGCGGAGGCCGGGGGCTGCTCCAGGAAAGCCTAGAGAGGGCAGCTCTAGGGACATGGGGCTTCACGGTTATTGGACATGTAATTACTGGTTATAACCGAGGTCATTTTTTTTTTTTTGTATTGCTTGTCAGGAAGGACTTTAATTTTACCTTATTTTTCAAGCATATTCTTGTCACAGTATTTTTTAAGTTCAAGGGTTTCGGGTTTCCGGCAGAGTGCCTGGGACACAAGAAATATTGCTCATCTCTGTCCCGCCTAACCGCAAGTGTCCCTGGCAGTGAAAAAACTTTAGATTGCCCACGAAAGACAAACTTTATGAAAACCAGCAACCTAAGAAATTTTTGTTTGTAACTTTTTTTTTTTTTTTAGCTAGAGGCAGAGTCTAAATGTTTATACATGAGCACAGGGTCTGCTAAATCTCTGTGAAAAGGATTGTGAAATCTCTTATCCATCCACACACTTTATCATGTGGAAGTCAAGTCAGATGAGGTATTTGTTTCCTGCAAATAATTATATTTTAGCAATTTTGCAGATTGGGTATCAAAACCAGAAAAGTGAAAGAGATGTCCAAGTTCACTTTACAGAACTACTCACTGGGCCACTCAGATTCACTGAATGGGTTTTTCCGTATAGAATCCCTGGTCATCCACCCATGCAGGGCATTAGAACACCAATGACACTGCTTCAGGGGGAAGAACAGTTCATAGGACTTGGTTATATCCTTGTATCCTGTGTTTTTATTTTCTCAGGCAATTTTTTGGATAAAATAAGAGCTCAACGTTCTGAAGCACCTGCTCTGTTCCAGGTCCTTTTCGTCACAGCTCCACTAAGGAAAGTGTGTCGCCTCCATTACAAAAGACGGAACTGAAGTATTGGAAAGTTTTGAAACTTGTCAAAGATCAAAATACAATTAAAGAGGGGTGGGGGACAGAATCTGTGGGCCTCCAGGGTTTCAGGTTGACCACTACACTCCCATTTTTCTCCTTAAGATGAGGCAACCACTTTTAACAGGGGTTTCTTTTTCATTGCAATAGCAGAATTACAAAGATACTAACTGACCGTTATTACACTAAATACAGGCTCTGTGACTTACTGATGACTTTCCACACATTACTTAACCTCTGTGCCTCAGTTTCCTCATTTGCAAAAATGCAAATGTTAAAGGTATCTATCTTGTAGAGTCACTTGAGGATTGTGAGGATTATACATTAATATATATAAAGCACTTATAACAGGGTTTTATAAACCTTAGTAACAGGCACAAAGTTCTATATAATTGTTGGCCATTATTATTACAGATTTCTAGTGTGCCATAAGACAGTGCCTCAGATATAATCATACTATAATAAATGGGCATCTTAATTTTTATAAAAAATTCTGAAAGTGGAATTTCTAATACTATATAATGCTTTTAACCATTTTTGTAACATCATTAATGATAATGGAGTTAATAGCACTGTATTCTATAGTCACATGTTAACTCCTAGACAGTTTATTATTTGCTTTCAAAACTATACAATAAATTATTGGTTTGTTGGACATTTTCTTCAGTAAGAAGTTTGGCTAGAGGGTGGATACAAAAAAATTTGATCTGAGGGGTACCTGGCTGGCTTAGTTCCTGGAGCATGTGACTCTTGATCTCCTGGTTGTGAGTTCAAGCCCCACCGTTGGGTGTAGTGATTACTTAAAAGTAAAATGTTAAAAAAAAAATTGATCTGAGATCACCAACTTCACTCTTTGAAAATGAAGGCAAAAAATTAGACCTCATAGGAATTTCTGGGCTTCAATAGGTAAATCCATAGGCTTACCTTGATAAAATATTCAGTATTTAATTTTTACATCAAATATTTGACCTATTTCATTGTATATTCTGTGATACTCAACTTCTGCAGTTCTAAAACATAACGTCACACTTTTTTCTCACATAACTGCAGGAAAGGAAGATTTATAATTTTGTAAGCCAACTTAGAGTATACATACAGACGCTAATTTACAAGCTTTAAAATGTAAATGCTAAAACTGCAATAAATCTAACATTTGTCTTTATTACATGCTCTACCTTTTTAAATGGCTGGTACATTACCTGGGCATTGGATTACTGAACAATAGACGGTGGAGAAAATACCCCTCAATACCTTTCTGGAAAGACAAGAAATCATTCTGCTTGTTTCTATTATTAAGCCTCGGTTCAGATATCCGCGGAGGTAGCAGAGCGAGCTACTGAGAATGGCAGGTCGGGCCTCGCTATGGGGACTCAGGCCTGCTCCCCAGTTTTTCCTCTCCTCTTGATCACTCATTCCAGTTCACCTCAAATTCACAGACCAAACAGGAAATGCTTTCTTCGTGATGTAGCTCACAGCCCTTTTCCAATCCATGTCTGATTGCGGGAGGATCAGGATCGAAAGCTTGCCCTAATGTCCGCGTCCATTCACAAGTCACTCCTGCTCTTTCGGCTCAGCTCGCGTCCCTGTTCTCGGCCTGCTGCGCAGAAAACTGTCACACACGCACCACACTGGCCGGCAATAATAAAGCTGGCCGCTGCTGGGTAACGTGTAGATTCAGAAGTGTGTGTGGAGGGGGGTAGGGTATCCCAATGAAACCTTTCTTTAAAAGCCTGAAACCTGCTCTTGGCTGTCCACTCCTTTTCTGAGAAACACAGGAAATACTTCTCTGCCGCGCTTCTCCAACCTTCCCCGGAGAGCCACCGTGCTGCCCCAAATCCTACCAGCCCTGGGTCCCTCTCCACCCTGTTTTCCAACAGAAAGGCCTCTTCGTTCCCTCCACCTGGTGGCAGGTCACTACCCAGGCATCCTTCTCTCCCCTGAAGGACCCCCTCGCCCCCAACCCAAAGCCAAGCGACATAATACTATGGATCGGGGCAGCTAACCGTGGCTGGCGGAGGGACGTCACTGCTTTCCTCCCGGGTTCCGGCCCTCAGCTTGCCCAGAAGTAGTGTGAGTGGGTGGGGTTGTTAGCTTCGTGGGTGGTGTTTGACTCCCTGGACCCCAGTCAGGAAGGCTAGGAGGCTGGCCAGAAGCGCATAAAAAGTCCGGGCGCTCAGTAGCCGTTCCCGACTTGGAAGCGCCTGCACCGGGCCCGAGGCCCAGTCGCTCTGCCTCCCACCGCCACTCTGAGTCCCCGGAGCCACCGACGAGTGACACTGCTCCGTCTGAGCCCCTCCGTGCGGCCTGTCCCGGGTCAGTTGGTCAGTGTGATTTCGTACGGCCGTCATCCCCATCCAGACCCTGGCCTGGGAGGTGCAGAAACAAGGGCTGGAGAATATATACGCGGGGGCGGGAATTAAAAACGTTCAAGTTCACACACACACACACCCAAAAGCACTTCGAATATCCCTCTTCGCTTCCCCCCCAATCTTACTTTGATTTAAAGACGCTATTAAGCCAATGCCCAAAGTTGAGCCGTCTTAGACCAATTTGGGGGCGGAGAGAGTGACCAATGTCTCCTTTCCATCCACCAGTTCCCTCTACTCCCAGGCAAACAGCGTAGAGGAGCTCTGAATTTCGCTGACGGCGGGAAAGAGCGTGGCGGGGGAAGAAAAAGCCGTACCTGCCGGGACTTGAGCTTCCTGGAGGGCCGGCGCGCGCTCCCCTGGGCGCCCGGGGAGCTACGGCAGCGGCGGTGCCTCTCTCGGCCACTGTGCCGGCCGCCTCCGCTTCCCCCAGCTCCAGGCGCGGGTCCCCTCGCCCCTGCGCTCGCGTTCTCGGGCGCTGACTGGCCTGTGGGAGTCACGTGCAAGGGCGGGGGCGGGGGTGCGCCGCAGAGGCTACACCTCCGCTCTGCGCCGGGCTGCGGGGGTGTACAAAAAAACTCCCCCAACAGGCAAAGTCCAGGCGCAAGGATCTCGGAAAATGCTCAAGTGCCACTGCCGGGGAGTGGGGCTTCGCCCACCGCGGTGCCTGAGGTCGATTCGGTTTGCAGTTTTGCGCAGGGTCAGCTTTATTCAGGGCCTCCCCTCTCCTACCTCCTCCCTTCACCCCATCCCCCACCCCCGCCTCCTGGTGGTCCGAGTCCTGCCCCAGTACTGGACTCGCGGGGCAAGGGGCGGGGCTGATAGAAGGGAAGGTGACCTCTTGGGCGAGACCCCTGATCGGCTGGGGAGCACAGGGTCACCAGGAGAGCCGGGCTGGCTGCGAGTCTCCGCGAGGTTGTGGATAGTGGGGATCCTGCTAGCCCCAGACTGCGAGTAGAAAAGACACGAAACCTGGGACTGGCCCACTCAAGTCAGAGCGCGGGGACGACACCTTCCTTTTCGCCTTTCTTTTCGCAAGGCGGCCTCTCCAGCCCTCAACGTTATGTATTTATGCAAAACGTGCA